TAATAACAATAATAATAATAATAATAATGATAATAATATACTTTATTGTCATTGTACACAGTACAACGAAATTAAAGGTGCAATCATTTCAGTGATCTACAGCCATACACATATACACTCACACAACCATTCACAACCATCCCATAACTCCCTTAAGGTTCACATTGCAACCTAAACCACCAATGTCACCCAAATTCCAACTTCATGCAGCATTTAAAGCAATAATAGCTCTCGAATAAAAACTGTTTTTTAATCTGTTTGTCCTTATTTTAATTGTCCTATATCTTCTACCCGAAGGCAGCAGTTCAAACAAGGAGTGTTCAGGGTGTGACAAATCCTGCAGAATGTTCTTTGCTTTTTTCAAGCATCGAGAACTATACAATTCCTCCAGGAACGGGAGAGGGCAGCCAATAACCTTCTGGGCTGTGAAGAGAGGCAGCAGTGGTTACGCCAGGAAGAAAGGACAATCAGCAGAAGGTGACCCCCCCATAGAAATCGCCTTTGGACCTGGATAAGAGGGGCTTTCCCAGGGTTCAAAAACAACTATGAGGGGTGTTGGCATCCTCGCAACAACAACCTTGCAAGGCAGGGCTGTGGGAGCCAGAAGCAGTGGGGAATAAACAATGGTCACAAGGATTTCCACTTCCCCCAAGCTCCGCCTCTACTGTGGTTTTTATGAAAAAGTGTGGGACTCCATAATTAGTCCCCTCTCGTTTAATCTTTCTGGACTATCTGATGAGAGTCTAGTTTTCTTTTTATCATCCGACAGGTGTCCCCATATTACATACTCCGGAGCAAGGGATCTCTCCATTGCTATGATGATTAGGGAGCGTAAGATTAAACCTCCTGCTGGCTGACCTGTACTGCATTTCAAATACGAGGTAGCATTTCCACCTGTATTCTTTGCTGCACATTTTATGTATGCCAATAAAGGTACTGAAACGGAAACTGCAAAAAATAGACCACATGCAGACCCCCATCCTGATGGATGGACAAAGCCCGACTGCAAGAGGCACATTGAACCAAAATCACTGGCAAAAAATATATATAAAGAGACAGACAAGTAAGAAATGCAACGGGAGACCTTCACTCGCAATCATGGGTTTAAATTACGGGTGGAATGAAACCAGCTGGATAGTAAGATTTATTTATTTATTACAATAAGAGTCATTCAGCATTAGAATCAGCTGCCTGGGGCGGTGGTGAGTTCCCCCTCCCTGGCAGTCTTGAAGCAGCGGCTGGAGAAACCCTTCTCAGGGATGCTCTAGGCTGATTCCTGCATTGAGCATGGAGCTGGACTAGATGGCCTGTATGGCCCCTTCCAACTCTATGATTCTATGATTCATCCCTGCTTGCATGTTATGGGTTGATCCAGCCAACTTTTCCACTCTGTCTCGCTTAATCCCTCACTCTGTTACAGCATCCATCCTGCAAGGCTTTTTTGTCCCAGCATAGCCTTCTTGGTGGTCAAAGGGGACTATTCCCCCCCTTTGCATTAGCAGAAAAGCTGGTCTCATGTGGCACCATGTCTTTCTGCCATAAAGCAGACTGCTGAAAATGATTCATGCCGACAGAGCGGTGGCACAGGGGATTTATCCTCCGGTTAATACATCTGAGCTGAACAGAGCTGCTGTCAGTTCTAGCCCCGTGCTGGTGTGAGCTACCAGCTTTGTCGCCAGCTCACCGTCCACCCAGCGGTTCAAAAGCTTCAGCGAGTAGATAAAATGGGTACCACTCCTTAAAGAGGGTGGGTACACTAACCCCCGGTGGGGGAGGTGTTAGCTGACAAATGGAATGTCCAGCGCGTAAGACTGAAAAGCCTAGAAAGAACTCTTCAGCGTTAAGGAAGCCTGTAATGGGCTGTCCGGCCAGGGGGTGGCAGTGCTGCACTGCTTGAAGCAGTCCAGAGAAAGCTGACGTCATCAAGCCACAGCAAGGGGAAAACGCTATTGGAACACGTCTGACCTTACAGCTGAACAAAACTCCCCATCGGCTAC